TAGTGCAAAAATTTTTATTAATTAAATTTCATTTTTAATTAGTAAAAATTTTTGCACTAACTTTATAATTAGAGCAATTCTTTCAGAAAAAATCTAAAAAATCTGAAAAAAATATATGTTAAACTGCAACTGATAAACTTTATTTTAATATAAAAATAAAAATTATTTCTTATTAAAATTATAAATTTTTATATGGAGAGAAAATTTCAATTTTTACTATGTTTTATTAGTAAATTTAGCCCCTGAGTTATTACTTTTGGTCACCATTGTAATATTTTATAAAAGATAAAAGTAATCTTTAATTCAAGTTTTAAATAATCTAACAAATTTTATATATATAAAAATATTAAAAAATAGTTTTTTATCTTTTTATAATAGTTTAAAAAATAATTTATAATATATTTTTCAAGATAATAATATTTAATATATAAAATAAAAATAATTAATTAATAGAAAAATTATTTAATATTAAATTTTTTATAATTTATATAGAATTCAGATCTTAATCTAATTAAATATTTATAAAATATTTAAAAAATATTATAAAATTAATAATTTTAAAAAAAAGTAAAATAAAATTAAGTTTAAAATTTGTCAAGAAAAATTTAAATTATATTAAATAGTTATAAAAATTCAATTAGATATTAATAAAATTTATATTTTTTTAAATAAAATAATATAAATTTTTTATAATATTTATTTATAAATTATTAAGAAATTAATTATTAAAGTTTATATATTTTTTTTAATTTTAAAATAATCAAATACTTTTAAATGAGAAATAAATAAATATATTTATAAATTTAATTTAATTAGTCTTTTAATTTAATTTTTTTATTTTATATTTATTTTTTATCTATATTTGTATATAATTTTAATTTTTATTATTATAAATTTTCTAATTTAATATATATAAATAATTAATATTTTAATTTTAATCTTATTTATATTTATAAGAATTACTTTTATTTTTTTATATACTTTAAAAATTAAAAAAAATATTTTATTAATTTCTTTAATTAATTATAATTATAAATAAATCTAAATAACTAATTATATTATAATCTTTATTATTTAATTTTTTAATAATTTTTTTCATATTTATAAGAAAAACTTAAATATTTATTAAAATTATGAAAAAATTAATTATATTATTAATAAATATATTAATTCAAAAATAATAATAATAATAAAAATAACAAGAAGAAAAAGAAAAATAATAATAATAATAATAATAATAATAGATAAAATATCTGCTTAAATACAAAAAAATATTTAAATTTTTAAATAAATTTTTAAAAAATAAGAATATATTTATTATCAAAAAATTTTAATTAATAATAAAAAATTAAAAAAAATATTATTAAAAAATAAAAAAATAAATTTGAATATATATTAGTAAATATTATATATATAAATAAATTAATTAGTAATAAATCTTATAAAATTATATAATAATGGTTAAAAATAATATATCAAGAACTAAATTTATTAATAATTACAAAGTTAATATAAAAATTTTTACATTAACTTTGTAATTAGAATAATTCTTTTAAAAAAATCTGAAAAAATATATATTAAACTATAATTGTTTTGATATAAAAATAAAAAATTATTTCTTAATAAAATTATAAATTTTAATATAAAAAATTTTAATTTTTATTATATTTTATTAATAAATTTAACTTTTGATATATTATTTTTAATTATCTTATAATAAATAATAAAACTTTTAATAATATAAATTAAAGTATTAGTAATTATAAATGAAGATTATATTCTTATTCTTGATAATAAATAAATATAATCTTATAAAATAATGAATAATAAATTAAAATAAAGATTTAATAAAATTTGAGAATAAAAAAAAAATAAATTGGAATTTTAATTACTTATTTAGAAAAGTATAATAAATTTATAATAAAAATAATATTGATTATTTAATAATTAAAAAATTTATCAATATTAAATAAAATTTTGTAATAATTTCTAAAGTAATATAATTAAATTAAAAATCAAATTGATATTATATTTGAATCATAAAAAAATTATTATATAATTTCAAAGCAAATTATTTTAGAAAGTGAAAGTTGCTTTTTGTTTTTTGATATAATCAAATTTTTCAAATAGATTCAGATTACTTTTAAATATTATAATAATAAAAGTGTTTATATTTATTATTATTATTAATTATTAAAAAAATAACTAATTCAAAATAAAAATAAAAGGAACAAGAAGCGATGACAAAATTTAAATAACTTGCTATTATGCATTAATAATTCTTTAATGAAATTCTTATAAATATAAAACAAATCATTTTTACTTCCAAATCAAAAATGGTGTCTAAAGAATATATTTATTTGTTATAAAGTAATCTATCATTAATTAAAATAATGATTAATATTATTATTATGATTATTCTTCATCGATAAAAAATGACATTGAATCATGACGTAATGCTTTATCAAGTGTTTTTATAATTTCTTGCGCCCTCATCTCTACAGATGCAAAGCAACGTTCTTGTAACCGATTCTCCGGTTGTATAGTCTCGAGCACATTTAATACCCTATGACAGATCCTATTAAGTTCATCCTTATCGAACTCTTGAATTTCAGCCTCGGATGATTTTTCAACGGAATTGTTCATCAGGTCAATTATGTTCAGGTATAGCTGTGGGAATGGGTAATTTGAAACGAAAAATCATTATCAACATTGATTGTATAAGACTAATAGAAAAATATCAATAACCCTTACCGCGCCACCAGAACTCCAATTGGGTACTGCTGACGAATCAACTTGTTTAAGGAATTCATATAGAATTTCGTATTTTTCGTGAAGGATTGCTTCAGGCGCAAATTCTTTGATAATCAAATCATGTCCTATTGCATGCAAACCAACTTTCAAATAATGTTGAGCTTCCATGTAAGTATTCCCATGGTATTTGGCTTCAAGAACCTAGAAATACGAGTGTATATAATTTACATGTTATGATGGAGAATATCGTGCATTTCTGTATAAAATGATTATCTCGTAATAACACTTTATATGTATCAAATGCATACACAATACTAAAATATATCTATTATTTATATTTTAAAAAAATTGATATAAATACCTTAGCCATGGCAATTTCGCTTTCATTCAATTTCAAATGATTAATTAAGAAATCTTGAATTTCTACCACAGCGGAATCGTCTGAATCTTTTTGATTTTTCTTCGTTAACGGCCAATAACGTGTTAATAGATCTTTGATTATGCGTTCTCGACTTATTTAATAGTAATGAGATATCTTTGTTAATTTATTCAAACTATAATAAAATATAGCAAGAGATAGATATCTTACATCTTTCCATCCTTGAAATGTAAGCCCACAAATAATGCCCAATGCCATAATCCTAATCGTTCAAGCTGCGACATAAAACTATAAGTCACATAGTTAAACAAAGTCTCATTTCCTAATATATCGTCTTCTTCGGTAGGACGTGTTAGCAAGAGATAAAGAAACCAAGATACACGATAATCGATTGGAGATGGAGTTATAGATTGTGGAAACAATATATTCTCAGGAGGATAAGTAGGTTCCACGAAAAGCTTGAGTAGATGATATAAAACATCATACATCTCCTGTTTTTGATCATCATTGTCAGGAGAAAGACTTTTCCAGATTAAAAGCCTTTCATTGCTTTTTTCTTCATTATACCAGACGGTCGGGGAAGCAAGTTCCTTTTCATTTTGAAATGAATCATCATATTGATCAAATACTTCCTTAAATTCAGTCTCAATTGGTGACCCGTACCATATGTGCATCGCTAGTGATCTTTTCCAATCTAATTTTTGGCTCACGTTTACCTCCAAGATATGGCAAGCTAAAATCTGATAAACATTCAAATATTCATTCGATATATGATTAATTGCACCGGTAGTTTCCCAATGATTCAGTTGCTGTTCAATAAGGTATCTGAATTGTGTATCACAGGATAACAATTGTGGAATTAACGTAGCCAAATGCAAATCGCGATTTTGCACGGCCTTAAGTGCAGCTTGTCCTATTTGATGTTGACTAAGGTAGGCAATAATTGTCCCATATGTATCTTGTTTGGCAATACATTCATTAACACGCGCTTCAGCCTTTTTTTTGACAATTGCTTCCAGCCATTCTGATATTCCTTTTTTACGATATTTCTGAATTTCTACTTCTTTCCGATCCGGATCATCCTCAAATTTTTTTAACTTATCAATGTTAGGATCATCGAATAAAATTTGCGCTAATCTCCAAAGAGACCTTTCGTGATCCGTAAACACTTTATCTTTTGTTATTTTCGCGATAACTGAATACGTATGATTAGCGTTAGTGCTGACGTATGGTATTCCATTTTTATCGCGAGAAACTGTTGAGTTTTGTAAAAGTGATTTCAACATTAGAGTGTGACGTTCTTTTACCCGTTCCTATAAATTTTATCACTATTACTTGAGTTTAAGGTATTTATGAATTGACATTGTTGTTTCATTACAAACCTCATCGGGATCAGCAAACATTTTTAACTTTTCGAAATATATGGTAGTCGGTAATCCAGTTTCAGTATCTTTCAATAATAATGAAGATTCTTTCCTCCTTTTTTCACAAAGTAATCAACAACATCGTACAAAGTAAATGATTATTCATATTTATAACATATTCTTTAATAAAGAAATCACTCACCATTTAAGTGTATTTATTCCGCAGACAGCACCACAATGCACAAACGTGCCATTAGGACCCCATCCCACTCGAAAAGATCTTGACATTGCGAGGCCTGCATCTGTTACTAATCCATCTTTTTGGTATGATATTGATTCGGAGTAATTTATCCGCCTAAACTTTGCTGGTCTACCCCGAAAAATGGATTGCGTTTGTGGAATAGGTGGAGGTATTGTCGCGAATGATTTTCGGTTCTATCAAATCATATAAAAACATTTAAAAATTTTCTCAATAAAAAACAAAATTTATTCGTATATGTTGATGAGATTAATTTATTGTTAATGAACATTGTAAAGATATAATTCGAAAAATTACATCCATCTTTAAAAGGGGATAAATTTGTAAGGAAACTAACAGTAAATATGTAGGGAAATTACATTTATCTTTAAAGGGGATAAATTTGTAAGGAAACTAAAAGTAAATAGGGGAAATTTAACTAAATAACTTGATATTCGAATAAAAATAATTTAGAAATAAATTTGAAATATGTCAATTCAAATGAATAAAAATAATAATACAAAATTGAATCTACATTGCGTAGAATAAGAGGTACACTCAACCCAAACTCACCTCCACCTCCTCACTCAAATCTGGCACTGGTTCAATTTCCATTTCGAGACTCGTATCAATATTTCTTTTTCCAAATCCATTGAGGCTCGGACTATAAAAGTCAGGGACGCCAATAACATTCTGTTTGTCACTCGAACTCGGAAACAATGTATTGGTCATTTGATAAACTCGATTGGGATCGAGCCGTAAAGTTTCGGAAAATGCTTTTGCTGGCGTGGTTGTTTTTTTGAGTGTATCTTTATTAGATGGTGTAGAAAAAGGCGTATTTTCATCGTTTTTTGCTTGAGATATGGGTGTAGCACTATATGGTTTAAATTCACGTTCTTCATATTCGTCTTCGCTATCCAATTCCAAGCCATACTTGCTAAAGTGTCGGACATGGAAAAGCCAAGAACCGGTATCCGCAAAGAAATCAATAAATGTAGTCTCTGGCGTTGCTTTAAGTCTATTAATTCGTTGTCTAAATCTTGGATCATTCGGGTCAGTGATTGGCTTCCGGGTACTTTTGTCCAAAGCCCAACATTCCTGAATCGTTATTTTAGCCGGACGATTAAGTCCTTGACCCACTGGGGGTTTCTCTACTCCACAGCCATCCTGATATACAATACAGGTTCGATCGACAAATTGCACTATTTTCCCTGGAATCAGTTCGAGCGGTATTGAACTTAGGTCAACTTCATTATCGAAAGAAACTTGGCCGTGGCCAATTCTTCCAACTTGAAAATGGCTAACATGTTTTAAGTCTTCTTTATCCATAGATTTTAGTTCCTCCAGTGATGGGCTCATCCAATAGCCATCATTTTGTGATGATAATGATGATGATAATTTTTCTGTTCTTGCCTTTCCATTTTGTGAGACACCATTTTTTCGGGGGGCGATAGGTGAGGGTGTCGGTGTTTCAGATAAAAACTGGTCGGGGGTTTGTTGTGAAAGTAATCTAGGTGTAGGTGTTTTTATGGGAGTGTGTGTTGGAGTTTTAATTGGTGTTGCAGATTTTGAAGGTTCACCCAATTTATTAAACGAGTCAAATCCAGTTTCAAATGGAGATTTAAATGGAGATTTCGATGGACCAGCTTTAGGTTCCGGTGTTTTAAAAATTCCTGATCCATTTGTAATAGTTCCAATTGTTGTCGACTCGCCAGCTTTCGATGTACCCATCAATCCGATTTCGGGCACTTTATTATTATCAATGACTAATCCTTTCGGTTTACGTACGAAAGCATCTGCTTTTAATGCTTCGGGCTTACTCAAACCGTCAAAAATATGAAGAGGTGTTCTACTAACTGGCGTTGTTAGGGTTCCATGTGCGGCAGGTGTAAAAACTCGAGGTTTGAGTCTAGACGCAGGTTGTGGTGAATGTTTATAATGAGGCGTTGCGGGTTTCTTACGAATAGTGGAAACTGGTGTTCCCGTTGGTGCAGGTGTCCCAGCGGCTGCTGTAGTCCCTGTTGGCATTGCTGTATTAAATAACGGCATTGCACCGTATGGAGTTTGTTCAACACCGGTACCAGATGGTTTTGGGGGTTGAAGTGTGAAAGTACTAGTTTGGGAAGTCCCTGGCTGTGTGCCACCAGAAGTGCCAGTCAATGAAAACGTCGATCCAATGCCAAGAGCAGGTGCAGGTGTTGATAAACTGAATCCACTTGATGTGCTTGTAGTAGCAGGTTTATTAGCAAAATTAAAGCCTGTAAAACCTGTGCTTCCTGTTGTGGTGGAGGGAGTGGTGGTGCTAGTTGTTGATGGCTGAGTGGAACCCAGGTTGGAGAAGAGACCACCACTTGCAGGTGCAGTTGTCGTTTGACCCGTTGTACCACCTAGTCGATAAACATAAAATTGAATATTCCCGAAAAAATGTAATATTAATATTTTGATAAATTAAACTTATACCTGTTTGAGTTCCGAGACCGCTAAAAGTCGGGGGTTTAGATGTAGAAGTCCCGAAGCCTGTAAATCCGGTTCCTGTAGTACCAGTTCCTGTTGTTGGCTGTGTAGTAGTACCTATTTATTGTTAAAAGGCATTAGCGTTTTTTCTAAGACTAAAAGAACATGTATACATCATTTCCCTTAGTTGCCAAATCATATAATTACCAAAACCACCAAATACGTTACCAGGTGTCGAAGGAGTAGTCGAAAATAATCCACCAGTAGCAGGTTTTTGGGCTAAAAGAGTATAATTTTAATTAATCTTATTTGTAACCAATCTATTACGGGGTCAAAATAAATAATAAAATTATATAAAAAAATCAAACGCTTATTACCTCCAAACCCAAAACCAGTTCCGAATCCAGTGCTTGTTGTTCCAGTGGTGGTAGATGGCTGTGAGAAAGGACTCGCAGTGAGGCTATTTGTTGTCGTCGTAGCAGGTTTTGTTCCGAATAATGAGGGAGCTCCTCCAGCTGTAGATGTAGAACCAAAAAAACTACCTATTTAAGAAGAAAAATAAACATTAATATCCGAGTATTAAAGATCACACTAATTAAAATAGAGATTGCAATTATTAAATTTTTTACATACTTCCACCTGCTCCTACTGTTGGTTGAGTACTCGAACCTAAACCAGTGGTAAGTCCACCACCAAGACCACCAAATCCTGTGGTACCACCACCGGTAGAACCGAATCCCCCTGTAGCAGGTTTGGGTTGTGTGCTACCAAATAAACTTCCACCAGTAGTTCCAGTAGTGCCGGTCGTTCCAAATGTTGAACTTGTAGCAGCACCAAAACCTCCAAATCCAGTAGTTGGTTTAGCACCAAATCCCGTTGTTGTGCTTGAAGCACCGAAACCAGTACCAGCCCCAAATGCAGGTGTGGTAGTGGAGGCTCCAAATGCTGGTGTAGTAGTGGTAGTAGAAGCACCAAATGCTGGAGTAGTTGTTGATGCACCAAATCCTCCCGGCGTTGTGGATGTTGTAGGAGCAGCACCGAAAGTGCTAACACCAGTTGTTCCTAGTACATTTGTAGCGGCCGAGACATTTGGTTTTCTGCCTAATTCGTAATCTTTAACTCGTAATTCCTAAAAACGATTCATTTAGAAAATGTTTGATTCTAAATAAACAAAGAAATAATTAACTATGAAAAGGAGGCTTACCTCAAACGAGAAGCTTTTATATGCAGTCATAGCACTTATACTATGAAAATTATTTGTAACACCCCCCGGTGCATCTTTTTCAGTGGTCGGAGCATATGGTGGATTAGCTGTTCCTGTAGCAGGAACGACTGCTGTTGATGAGGTGCTTCCTAATGCTAAAAAATTCAATGCAAGGTGATAATTGATTATTAAATTTTTACTAATTCAGTTTAACCTTTTTTACAATTTTTTTTTAATCCATCAATCAAATTAACTTACTTCCAAATGCATTTCCACCACCAAATAAACTGCCACCAGCGGGCTGTGCCGTACTCGCTAATCAGAGGAAAAGAAATAAACGCGTAAATTAGGTAAATTTTTCCCGATTTAAATTCTGATAACTATCTTAATTCCTGTTAAATTTTCACATACCGGCACCAAATCCGAACGAAGGCGTTGTACTTGAACCAGTGCTAGGGGTTGTTCCAAAACCGCCACTAGTGCCAAACCCTCCAGTACCAGGTGCTGACGAAGGTGCACCAAAGCTTCCTATATCAATCAAATACATGCGATGTCAAAAATCAAATATGTGCCGAAAGGATTTACCGAAAGACGCGTAATTCCAATTTCAGTAAATAACCCAAAAATAACTTGTGCTTTTTACGCGAATGCTCATTGATCAAGCAAAAAGACGCCTCTTGACACTTACCAAACCCAGTGCTACCCCCAAACAACGATTGTTGCGGCTGTCCCTGTTGAGGATTCTGTGGTTGTTGCGAACTTCCGAAGCCCCCAAACATGAAAAAATTGTATGTGAAAATTGAATATGTGTGTAAAAAAACTAAGATAGATGCAAACGATGCACGTAAAATGTCTTTGCTGCTAAACGTGTGGTTTAGATCTTAAATTTGTCAAGAAAGAGCAGCGAATTTCTTTTATTTTCTGTTTTCTTCGAGTAAGCCTTCTTTTTTTATAGTATTTTGATGTTTACAAAAGTAAAGTAATTGTATCTAATGTAACAGAGGGAATATAGTGACACAAAATGATTCCAGGGGCTAATACCATGAAAAAAACAAACTGCGTTTATCGAACATCGCCAATTAAAATCTGATTACAAATATGCCAATAGTATTGACCTGTGAAATGACGTCATGGTTTCACGTGAAGTTACTTTTTACGCAGTTTTTCTGCGCGGACGCAGTTTTCATTCAAAGTTATATATAATCATGATCAATTCAAAACTTTGCCTCCTAATAGTAAGCGTATTTATCAATTTTTCATCTTTCAAATTGCGAAGTGTGAAGGAATTTCTCAAAGATCTCATATAAATTTAATCCAGCATTCGTGAAAGATTGCCTCTCTTGACAAAATTTGAGAATCATTTCCAGTTGCTCTCGTCGTTTGGATATGATTTGATAAATGCCGATGAAATGAATGGGAGCGTATTCTCCGCAACTATTCGTCTGATAATAGCTCAGCCTCAGATTAATATACTGGCTCTACAATTGAATGAAGTTCAAGTCTCGAGGCGCAGAGTTGAAGTGACCTTAAGGTTGATTTCAAAACACTTGATACTTTAGCATATTCTGATGACATCAAATATTCTCGTGAATAATCTTTTAACGAATCTTCCAGTCAGAAGCTAATCCAAACCACGCAATTAATTTTCAACGAAATCCAAGACACAATATGAGTGTCATTAGATAACGTTCACTGATAATACAGTACTGGCAAAGACATTGCAATTTAAAATAAGTGGACATTTTTGCATGGTTTGAGGGGAATAACAATGAAGAGTAAAAAGAGAAAGAAGGATAAAGGTTAGTATTAAAGAACATGCTGTGATACGAAAAAAAAATGGGAGTTAACAATAATTTATAATCATGCACAAAAGTTCTTTATTCCCCAAGAAATGGGCGTTGGAGAGAGGTAAATTTTTCTCGACAAGGTAAAAATAAAGTTTCCTTGACTTAATAAAATTAGGTTTTTCTGTGAATACTAAATAAAAAAAAAATTATAATGATATACAATAATTGGTTGTTATTGAAAGAAAGAAAGCGCCATACGCGTCTTATCAAAAGACAATATCGCGTGTTTATCATTTGATGTTAAAAAGGACACAAAAGCATTGTTTTTTGAAATGATTTTTCTCGAGAGAAAATAAATACATGAATGCACATATGATATGTATACATGAGCCAGTTGGTCAGGTCACTTTCGTCGTTAAAACCTGTTTTCCTTTTATGGTATGTTGTACTATTGTTCTTTATTGTTGTTTTAACCGTTTTTCACATCTAAAACATTATAATAATGAAAGGGGGGGATGTGTTTTATCTATTATGAGAGGCATATGTCTTTAAACTTAAATCGCGCTGCGCTTTTTGTGCATTGTGCTTTTTTTTTGGCGGTGACTTTTGGGTGTTTTTCACTGATTCTGTGTAATATTAGCGAATGATGAGAATTAATAATTTGCTCAAAATAATGCACAAAATACTCTCATTAAGTGATAGATTCCCCTTTAGTTCAGTCTTCTCTTCTTCTCTAAAAATAAGTCAGTTACAGCAGAATCAATCATACGTGAACGAAGAAATACGTCAAGTGGAAAAAAAAAATTCGGGAAACAGGAGATTATTAGATAATGAAGATTCATTGAATGAAAAAATAGGGGTTGAACAAGAGCGAAGAGATACTTAGGTTGTGTGATCAAGTATAAGATGCACATGAAATTATTTACGAGCAGAGGCGCCAAGACCAAAATGGACAATAATTGCCGAATTAATAATAATGGGTGAATTATTACGTTGGATGATTCATTATACAATTTAAGTTTAGCTGCCAAGTTGGGAAATTGTTAATTCTTTTCTCTTCTGATAGATAAGTCGATCAATTTTATTTATGTCATAAAGGAAGAAAAGAAGATATGTAATAAGATGTAATCTCTTATTATTAGTACAAGCATAAAATTTGGCATTTTATACATATTTTTCTTGTTTCGTTGAAAAAGTTATTTTAAAACTCGAATTTTTAATTGTTTAAAAAAACTTTTACATGACATTTTGATCCAAACACAATCTCTATGGCCATACAAATATTTTGGACACGCAGATCTAAGGTTAGAATAGGAGAATGAATCAATGAATGATTGATTAATTATTGAATCTTATCATAGATGGGAAAAAGTTTTTCATTTATTTCTCATCATTTTATACTTTCTACAAAGCACAATGAATTTTAAAAATACAATGACATGGGATGGAATAATAAACGTCGACATGATTCCCAAACAAATTAGGAGTTAAATTAAAAAAAAATAATAATAATAAGGAATCGTATCAACGAAAATCCGAGATTACAATGGCTCAATGAAAAAATTTTTCGTAATTAAAGTTTATATTGAATTATTGCCATGCAACTCTACTTATACATATCAATTTCAGATTCCAGTGTCACCCTAACCCACAACAAGGAAAAGGAACGGAACCACGTTTTTCTTTGTTATTTCACACATTACTGTGTATCATTGTTTATATGTGTCATACATAGTCAGTCGGTCATTAATATATTCGTGAAAGATCAGATGAATGGAATGATGTGAAGAAAAAAAGAAGGGGAATACGAATAAGGGAACAAATCACAACAGTTCAACTCCATATTTGGTAGTGGTTACATTGTTTGAATTTCGGGGGATGTGTGAAATGAAAATTCTGTATGTATTTAGCAGTGGTGGAAGAGACGATTAATCACCCATCTGTCATTTGCTTTAATTGTTTGTTACGAGTTGTTCGACTTTTTTGGAATCGATTTTAATAAGAAAAGAAAAATTCGCGGTTCTTTTATCCTTATCGTTATAATTCGTATGTACACACCAAAAAAGATACGCACACACCAGAAAGATACGCACGCACACACGCTCGCACGCGAGAGGAGAAACTTTTTTGAAACACGCTGCTTAAGAATATTCACATTTAGAATGAATGTTTTTCCTATGCCTCATTGGATAAATTGGTAAAATAATAATCCATTGTCTAATCATCATCATCTGTGTTAGGACATACAATGAATGTATACGTTATGCGACTAGGTATTGGAGGTGTGTGTATCTACCCTACATGCCGCGAATAGAGTAAACAATCAAATAGTTAAGGATGAACATACATTAATACATTAATCAGATATTTTTAATAAAATTAATAGATTAATTAATTTTTTAAGTAACACTATTCTACTAGTAGTTGTGTCTCCTTTTACGTATGACTAACAAATATTATTGTGTTGCCTTCTCAAGAACAATAAGCTTTTAATTTAAATGTCCAATAGTATATCATCATCAACTCTCCATTATATTCTACAAAACGTAATTTCCATTATAAGAAATACCTCCCATTATTTTTTTACGAATGTTTCATTATTATTGTTGTTCTCTTTATGACTATTTGGCACACACCCCAAACTCATCACGTATTACTCATATTAATTATTTATTTTGGCTCTTATTATTTTCCTTTGTTCCAATATAAATAAATTTTGCGACTATAAATACTGTGCGTCTCACCGTGACTGGGTGTTTTAATAGTGGTGCCCAAAAAAAGAAAATATTTTTTTATTTTTTTTTTCTTTTCCGTACCTGTTTTCTTTACCTTTTGTCGGATTTCTTTTTTTTTTACTTGTACTTGCGTTCACACACACACACAGAGTATATTCGCTCCTTTTTTTCTTTACAAGAGTTGTAGTTTATTATATAAAGTATATTTTATTTTACTGCGTGAAAAAAGAGGAAGAAAGAAAGAAAGAAAAAAAAAACAAAGTCGACCGACCAAATAACCTAATCAAACAGTCACCACTTATATTATATTATCTTTCGTTGTATTTTGAGACAATATTTGATATACTTGTCATCGTTCTTTATTCTCTTGTGTCATCATTATTCGCTTTTGTGGCGTCTTGCAGAATTAAAGGTCAGTACATATTTCATCATAATAATGATTTTTCAAGTACATATTCTTATACATAATCATCGAAAAAGTTGTCTACTTTCATGATCCGAATATATTCACGGATCAATAGTTCTTTAATTAGATTAGTGTATCTTGTATTGGGAAATTACGTGTTTTTGTCCTTTGTTCTGTCTTTCTTTATGGTTGCGGGTGATGGGAGAACAACGACATCATTACACAAATCAATACCATCTACGCCTTATCATTTGTTTATAATCTGTTTAAAAAAAAGAACCCCGATTATACAGATGTATGAAAAAAAATGCAAAAGCAAAAATTAAAGTAACACCTAAGTAAGCAAGTAATAGAAAAAAAAACAAAGGTTGATTTGCGCGTTATAGTCATCAATCATTTATTTATATTTATTCAACGATTCTATCTTGAATCTATTTCAATTGACCACTTACAAAATCAGAAAGGGAAAGGAAGTTGAAACGCTAACCATCCAAAAATTCTATTCTTTCCTTCATCCCTTTATAATCACTATATTCCACCATTTATATGTATATCGATGATCGAATCTATATCCGAAAATGCGTCCTCCAAATAATCCATTCATTTCATTGTCCTCTTTTTGGTGGACTGACCTTACCTTGCGGTGTAACGAACAAACATATGGATGATTCGTCATTAATACCCGAAAATGTTCGAAACGTTCAAAATACGTGTTTCTCTGCTCTCGCTTAAAACATGAAACTGATCGTCTATTCGACAATTTTGATTTTTTTGTGTATTGATATAGAGACAAACCATAAAACTATTAAATAAAAAAAACAGGTCGAAAACACAAAAAGAATACATTCCTACTCATCCAAAGAGAAACGGAATAAAAGACACAAATATCACAACTATAGACCACAAAATAAGCCTTCAAATTTTTTCGCCATTGACCTTTGTAAATAGGTACGTATGCTGCCGTTACGGCTACGACGCATCAATTTTTCTTACGTCCACCATTATTAAATGTATATAATTATTGTTTTCGAGTCGTGCTAAGGAGCGTCTTTTTTTTATTTATTCAATAAACTCAACTTTTATTAGATTTAGCTATACACAACAACGAAAAGTCAACAAAAAAACAAAATACCTATAACATTCTCCTTTCCATATCATCATCAACAAAAAGAATGGCAGTGGTAACAGTATCACCATCTGATCCACGAGTAAAAATCAATAATAATATTTCGAGTCCAAGAGTGACCAAAGAAGAATCCGATAATACTAACGACAACACTGACACATTAATACTAAAATCATTATCACGATCATCATCTCCTTCAAATATGAATCATCACATTCATACTCAAAGCAATATATTTTCTTCTTCCACTAATAATGATCTCGATGAAAATGATGAGGTGTCACGACAAGGAAGACAATCGGTGACAAGTATCTCGAATTTAATCAATCATGATGAATGGCGAAATAAAGCGGAGAATGAAAAACTTGGGAATAATCACTCGAAAAAACAACATAAACACCACAATAGAAACAGTAACGAATATAGAAAAAGAAAACAATTGGATAATAATAATAATAATAATAACAATAATTCTTTTATCGATGAAGAGAATCTCAATGAACGTCGTCATCATAACGTTGTTCCTGATAATACTACTGCTGATCCCGCTGCTGCTGCTCTTTTATTATTGCGTAAACGTCGACGTGTTTCAACGTCAGAAAACGATAAAAATGCTACTACCGAGATCAATGATGAAAATAATGACGACGGCGACGACGATGATGATGATCAAATGGTATCTGAAGTTATTGTCAATTCAAGAGCTGCATCGCCTGTACCTTCTGCTGGATTCGATGACATAGCAACTGTTGAAGATGGTGCTTCAGATGATTTATCAGCTGCAACTTCAAATATATCTTCGAAACGTATGACGATGGAGAATGCTGCTGGTGGGAATAATCATAACAATGGAGGAGGTATTAGTAGCAATGGTGTTGGTGGTGTTATATTACCGCCGTCAACATTTAGTGGTAAACAAATCCGTAAGAAACCTTATATTCCACGCCCACCAAACTCATTTATTCTCTATCGACAACATCATCATCCGCTAATCTTGAATCAAAATCCGGGTATTAACAATTCAGAGATTTCTCGGATTATCGCAGATCATTGGCGAAACCTTAATGAACACGAGAAACAAGAGTGGAAGCGTAAAGCAGAGGAAGCAAAAGAGACTCATATGAAAGCGTATCCCGACTACAAATATCAACCAAGACGAAGAATCGGAACACAAACCACCACTTTTCGTAAGGCTACGATACATACACCGAATGGAACGTTAATAGAAGATTCATCGGGAAAATATGTGGATAACTTTGTAATTGAAGCATCTTCGTTGCAACATCAGCAACAGGATCGTCAACAAATGAACGATGATCATGCAGTTCCGAGAACAGATCTTCTGCCGATGGATGAGATGCGAATGATCAACGGAAATAATAACAATATGACTGGCCTTGTCAAGCATGAGATGAAACGAAGAGATGTTGTAATCATTGGGGGCGGTTCCAAAGAATTGCAAAATATTGGTAATTATAAATTTATCACTTAAATATCTACGTAAATATAAATTCATCCTCAATTTCTAATCAATTTATCATTTCGATTATAAAGCAAGAACCAGAGCCACTCCAACTGAAGCCATAAAGGCAAAATTATTGCCAAGAACTCCATCAGCCTTATTAGCACCAACACCATCTTCACATGCAACTGGCGGAAATTCAATCAATCAGCTACAATCTCCTTCCAAGTCTTCCTCAGCACATAATTATTTCGTTCATTCTCAATCATCACAACCGCCTCCAACCCAAACCCGTCTTCCACCATCACATACCATCATTCAGCCGTCACAATCGGCCACTTCACCCACCACCAACACATCTTCGCCTCCTTCTCCGATCAACCCAACGACAATAGTTCGTGGTGCGTTAATTGTCCTAGAAGGATGTGAAGATGGATCGAGTTCATTGCAAGCTAATAAGTTACTGGAGTTCCTAAAGAACGAAGGAATCAAAGCAAAATTATGGAAGTTCCCTGATCATTCTACACCATCCGGAAATGCTCTACAATCTTATCAGCAATCTAACCGTCAGCCACACCCGAAAACGCTTCATTTGTTAAGTGCTGCACATTGGTGGGAATTAATGTAAGTAATTTTTCGATCGTTTGTTTTCCTTTTTTTTTTGTATTAATGCAATTAATTAATCCACTTGATTTTTTTAGGCCTATAATGAAAGATCATTTACTTAATGGAACCACATTAATCGTCGATGGTTACATTTATTCGGCCATCGCAGCATCGGTTGCTCATGGACTGGATCTCTATTGGTCAAAAAGTAGTTATGCGCATATCATGATCCCGGACTTGATATTTTTCCTAAATATGTCTGGAGTAGAAAGAGAACAACGAGAACAAAATAATTCTACTGCTGAGTCAACGGCCGGAGAAAATAATCGTTCATCTATCGAATGGCAGCGACGAACAAATGATGCGCTTGAAAGATTAGCAGAAGCACATTGGAAGGTGAGAGATTATATTTTATTTTGTGTGTGTGTGTGTGTGTGTGTGTGTGTGTGTATGCATATTGATTGATCGCATTATTATTTTGGAAATGTATAGATTTTGGATGCATCTAAATCGAATACTTTGATACATGCACAAATGATTGAAGCATCGATCGAGGTCATCGAACAGTGTCGGAAATGTAATACTAGCTATGGGACAACCGGCAACAATAATATCCTGCCAATGTATTCGCCTCCACAGCCATATATGATCAACGAAGTTATCGGGCATCATCAATTTAACAATAATGCACAGCAGCAACAACAACAACAACAACAACAACTATCACCGCAATCGCATTCATCATTACCACCTCAATTTGCAAGATATGATGCATTCCATAGACCTGCTCATGTACAGCTATAACACTAATGATTAACTTTAAGTTGTTATTATTATTTAATTATAATCTTTGTTTGAATTATATTAGAATAATGTTCTTATCACCTTCAATGAGATAATCGAATCATATAATCTATATCATATATTATATATATTTCTCTTTTATATATGTATAAATCATCGAACTCTATTGTTTTCTTTTTTACATACAAACTGTCCTTACTTTTTCTTTGTACATTTTTTTCGATATTTTATTTATCATTTTGTTTTATAAAAAAAATTATATAACTCATAAATTTACATATATATATCTCAATTTTTTTGTTAAATACACCTTACTCGCATATTAAATATTTTAAAGTTATAAATATATAAATATTTTTAATTCCTATATCATTTTTTCAATTTATACATAATTCATAACTTTACATAAAATAAAATAAATCTCATTATAATCCAACTATAATTGGTTACACAGTAAATATTGCATGATCCAATAAGTTTTCCATCCTTCATTTCTTAATAAGCAACAGGAATTTGAATCAATATCATGGATATCGATAACAAGGTGATATTTAAAAATTTGGGTAAGCTCAATGATGGAAAATTAAGTGCGACGTTTCAAATGGATGATGATGACATTTGGTTTAAAAATAGAAGAGGATGAAAATGAAAAGGATTTTGCAATATTCGAAAAGACACTTGCGTTCGGTTGCTTTTCTATCTCGATACGACTGTCCACTATTTTTGCGGATCAAAATTGTTTGTATTTATTCATTTATTTATTCATTTATTTATCATTGGAATTAATATACCTCTATAAAGCGCCGGAATTGCCACAAGCACTTTCAATAAGTGGATTCTCTCGATATAATAACAAGTTTCCTGTTATTTCGATGCATTGGATTACATTAGGCACAAGATTAAAAGATGATGTAAATTTCCTTTGATCTATTTTATATAGTTTATAACAAACGATGTGCATTAATTTTTATAAATTTTTTCGTTTTTTAGCATGAAAACGATATTTTCTGCATGTTATTTAATTCATTAACCACAAATAACTTGGTTGGTGTTATCCCACTGGCGAATGATTGGTATGGATTAATTGAGCCAAACAAGACCCAAAATGAGGGGACATGTAAGGATATTTTTCTTTGCGGTACTATCTTTCTTTATAAGACATTTCATCATCAAAATGCTCGTTCTTTCCTTTTCAAAAGATTTCTATTTAAACATTCTCCCTCAAGGCACTGAACATCAGTTTCTAATTAATACTAATAAAATAAGTACGAATCTATCACCATTGCTACCACAAAAAAGTTATACGACCGAGGAAAAAATTACATTACCTAAACCTGAAATCGTTGAGGTAAACATGTGGAAACTATCATTGTCAATTATTATGTTCTCTTAACAACAATTAATCACTATCATTTGTAATCTTGTTATTGTTAGTTGTTAATTAATAGGATTCAAAAATATGGAACTAATTTGCCATACGATGAAACAAGGTTTAACACAAGGTAAATAATGATCAAGTAATAATTATTTTTTTTTACGATATTACTTATACAACTATCTCGTTATGCGATGACTATTTCAATTCAGTATCGAACAATGTCGTAAAATAATCCAAGTCTTTCATAATACAATACTTCGAGATGATCTGATCAATGTATTGCGTTTATCGAGGTAAATATGTTATACATGCACAATTTTTCTTAAAATTATTATTATTGTCATTTATTTACATTTTATCAATATCAAGAGAAAGATACCCAAATGGTAATATCAATAAAATCACAATAACAAAACTATTAAAAGAGTTTGGGGATCATCAATTCGATGATGAATTAGAAGATGAAGAAGCGGAAGATGAATATATGAATAGGATTGAGGACGGTGATATTTTTATCCACGATTATAATGATCAAAATAATCCTGGGAATGATGAACAACAGCACAGTGAAAGGTCAAATGTGATGTCACTTAATGATCTTTTGAATTAATTAAAATCAATTGGTTAATAATAGTTGATTAGTTTGTTTCTTTAAGAGTTCATGTTTTGAGCTTGTGAATAATAATTATGCTGATTAATATCAAACAATGATTTTTATTTTACTTACAAACTATCGATACAAATTTTAGTAAAAACCCTTTGTTAATCACTACTTGAGACATTCGTTTTCCAATCCAACTATGCCGAATCAGTCAGGTAATTTTGATCTATAGCTAATTATGGCTTCATCGAAAGTCATCATCAATGCTGCACCAATTAGTAATAATTAATGTCAACAGCAGAGTCGTCTGATAGTCTGATCTTTGTCTATTATGAGTCACCACTTAAAAGCTTTTTGTATACGAATTTGCGACTTTCAGCATAAAAGCAGTGTTTGATATGAAAATCAATGTAGTTCATATGTATAAAGAAGAGATAGTTAGAACTCGCGAAGCCAAAGAATCAATTTTTTTCGAGGCAGGTCTCGGATCCGACTACTTTCAGTATCTAAATTTTTTTTCGGACTGACCACTCCCATGCAATTCTCGCAAATTCTATTTTTGACATGATGATTTCCAGCTTTCTTTAATTTATAAAACAATTTGACATATATGCATAAATTTGTAATATATATGATAACAATTTCTATTTAGCGATAGTAATCAGAATAATTAATATAATTTTTATTTGGTTAGATTCTATTCGGTTTTGGTTATCCATCATTCGCTTTTGGTTAGCAATCAATTGGATGAAAGGAAACATCGGAATATTACATTTTGCTCTCAAATATATACATCTACGTCAAGATCTCTCTGCATTTATAGTATTATTGAAGCAAGATTTGCCTTCATAGAAGATAGGTTCTATTCACTTGAAGAAAAATTAAAGATTGGAGATACAAAAGTATCCTACCGCCTGTATCACATGAACGTACATAATAACAACTCCCCTGAAAAAAAGTGTAACACAATCCGTGATCACAACACTTTTATAGGTTTGTCAACTTTTATATGAAACTTTCACTCAAAAAGCAATATGAAATTGTCTTCCTGCAGCTGGATCAAAGTGGAGTTTTGGAAAAATAGCTAAGTATATTTACTATAATAAGTTTATAATCATTTATTAGATGAATAAATATTACAAAAATCCAAATTTAAGTATTAGTAAAAGATCAGATTGATTATATATTGTTGTAATATGAACTTTTAGTAGAATATTAATTATTTATTTATTATGATTACTTCATATCACAATATGATTGAATGATTAATTACTTATATCTTATTGGATATTAGTTAGAGAAAATATTATTTATAGATATTTTATAAATAGTTTTTCAAGTATAATAATTATAACAAAATTATTATAATAAAGTTAGCAAAATTATCATAGCAAAACTAGCAATTATGATACCAGCTAAAGTAATATAGCAAAAGTAGTTTTAAGTTCTATAAGTTTAGTTCTCAAGCCATATTTTAATATATTTTAGCAAGAGAATTCTAAAATATTTCTTATAAAATAGATCTTGACTAAGATTTATTATTTTATTATATTATGAATATTATTATTATCTATTTTTAGAATAAATCTTTTAATAAATCTTAGTAAAAGAATATATTCTTATTAATATATTATATAAACTCTTTTAATATCATAATTATTAGTAAAAATATGTATTTTTAATAATTTAAAAATTATACTTGTACTTGAAGTTAAACTTATATTAAAAAGATAATAATATTATAATAACAAAGCAAGATAAATAAATTATAAAAATAATAAAGAAGAAATACAATATAATAATTATTAAAATCAAAAAGATATAATAAAAAGATTAGTATAAATATTATAAAATAATATTTTATGAAGTTAAAAATAAGTATTTTAATAAAATTCTTAAATTTTTACTTATAAATAATTATTAAAAAAAATAGTTAAAATAGATAAAGAAATATTATAATTATAATTAAAATAAGATAATTTTTATAAATAAAAATATATTTTAATTATACTTATCAAAAAAAATTTAATAATTTAGTAAAAGTAAAAAAATATATTATATTATTAAATATTTGATAAAAATTTATATTAAAAATATTTTTTCACTTTAGAATTGATAAGTTAATATACTTTCAGAGAAATCTAAATATATAAATTTTATATATAATAATTATAATAAGATCTTTTAGCTTTTATTTTTAAGTTTTTTAATTAGAATAATATAAATTAATTTTATAAAAAAATAATAATTTCAAGTATTATTTGAAAATTACAAAAAATAAAAAAAGAAAAATAATATTTTTAATATTTTTAGATCAAAATTTTATTAAAAATATATAATAATTAGCATAATATAAATTAATTTTTGCAAAAAGATAATAATTTCAAGTATTATTTGAAAATTATAAAAAAATGAAAGAAAAAAAATAATTTCAAAATACTCTCTTAATTATTAATATTTCTAGATTAAACTATTATTAAAAATATATAATATTTAATAAAAATTAATATTATTATTAATTTATTTTTTATTTTAATCTCATAAGCTTAATTATATTATTTTATCTTCTTCTTTTATTCTTTAATAATTT